TTTAGTCTTTGCAACTTCAGGGATCTTATCTATGCACAATCAGCTTGTAACACTCCAAAGAGAAAGGAAAACTTGAATCGCATCATATGACCCCTTTAACAGTTTTATTCTTTACATTCACTTCTTTTTTTCAGATGGGAATTAATTCCTTCTAGAACTACAAAGTTAAAGAACCAAAAAATGAAGAAGAATGAACAAAACAAAAACGAAAGAGTGTTAGAAAGAGGATAGAACTTTTCTCTGACCGTTGATATGTCTGAGCCTTGGTGGAGTACTTTGTTTGTCTCACTAGTGATATATGTGCGTTTTTAGATACAGACAGCCAAACCACAGATAAAATTTTCCTAGCAATGGTTTTAAACAATTAAAATAGTTGAACAGCCACAGAGGTCATCTTTTCAGCCCTGAGGAACATACCTAAAGCCAAGAGAGATGGCATTCTCAAGCATGATGCAAATGCCTAATGTCCTCCTGCTTTTATAAAATGGCAGCAATACGATGAGATGAGTGTTCAGTATTTATGACAGAAAACATAAGCTCCAGTCCAGAAAGACAATTTTAAATCCACAACAGTAAAAAAAAAAAAAAAAAAGACTAGACAAAACATTTACATGACTGCCCATATAATTGTGCAGTCTCGGATGTGCATTTATCAACATTTTACATTTTTGAATATGGCTTATCCATTCAGAAATTAGAACGATTTGTTTTATAAAATGACATTAGTGAAACAAATCCTATTTAAAAGCTGTAATCTAATAGTAAATACTCCTTGTGAGCATGCAAGTATGTATGTGTACACAGTATTGTGTTGATGTCTAAAGGTTGTATAATCTGTACCATGACCTGATCAACTTTGAATGTATCCTCAGTAGTTCAGAGACTTTCTAAAAACTCTGATAACCTTCTGAGAAAGCCAAATAAAAGCAGCACAGAATGAGAAAGATTGGGCATGCCTGGACCTGCTGAGCGCAGATGTCAGAACAGCTGCAAGGAGTCTCAAACAGGATAAAACTCACACAGACTCCTCGAGCAGCTTTACCTTTATCATCAAACTAAACCTAATGTATTATGGTGGTTGTGGCTTTCTTTTGAAAGCAAAACCCCTCAAAAATAAAACAACAGAAAAACATCAGCTTATCTCAGGTTTTGTATAAAAAAAAAAGAAAAAAAAAGAAAAACTTGACTTTATCGCAACGAGGGACTTTATCCTGGCACCTGATGCTGCTGTCCTTGCTGTAGATTGAATAAAGGTTATTAAACATTTAATCCAAGAGGAATCAGTAAAGTCGAATCAAAGGTGAAGAGACTGAGAAGCAAAAGAATGAAAGAGGAACACAATGTGCTAAAATGAATGATAGAGATTAGCAATGTAAACACACAGTGTAGTTCTCATCACTGACAGCCAGATCCCAGAGGCAATTTGTGTGCTGCCAATGAGATTAAGACTGCCCTGCCCTGACTGTGCTGAATTTGGGCAGTTGGGGAAAAAACAAAAGCTCCAGTCCAAAAAAACAATTTTAAATCCACAACATAAAAAAAAAAAAAAAAAAGACTAGACAAAACATTTACATGACTGCCCATATAATTGTGCAGTCTCGGATGTGCATTTATCAACATTTTACATTTTTGAATATGGCTTATCCATTCAGAAATTAGAACGATTTGTTTTATAAAATGACATTAGTGAAACAAATCCTATTTAAAAGCTGTAATCTAATAGTAAATACTCCTTGTGAGCATGCAAGTATGTATGTGTACACAGTATTGTGTTGATGTCTAAAGGTTGTATAATCTGTACCATGACCTGATCAACTTTGAATGTATCCTCAGTAGTTCAGAGACTTTCTAAAAACTCTGATAACCTTCTGAGAAAGCCAAATAAAAGCAGCACAGAATGAGAAAGATTGGGCATGCCTGGACCTGCTGAGCGCAGATGTCAGAACAGCTGCAAGGAGTCTCAAACAGGATAAAACTCACACAGACTCCTCGAGCAGCTTTACCTTTATCATCAAACTAAACCTAATGTATTATGGTGGTTGTGGCTTTCTTTTGAAAGCAAAACCCCTCAAAAATAAAACAACAGAAAAACATCAGCTTATCTCAGGTTTTGTATAAAAAAAAAGAAAAAAAAAGAAAAACTTGACTTTATCGCAACGAGGGACTTTATCCTGGCACCTGATGCTGCTGTCCTTGCTGTAGATTGAATAAAGGTTATTAAACATTTAATCCAAGAGGAATCAGTAAAGTCGAATCAAAGGTGAAGAGACTGAGAAGCAAAAGAATGAAAGAGGAACACAATGTGCTAAAATGAATGATAGAGATTAGCAATGTAAACACACAGTGTAGTTCTCATCACTGACAGCCAGATCCCAGAGGCAATTTGTGTGCTGCCAATGAGATTAAGACTGCCCTGCCCTGACTGTGCTGAATTTGGGCAGTTGGGGGCAGCACATTGGGGCTGTTTTCATGTCATATAAAAAGACTGCTTTTGTTTTCGTTGTATAAAGTCACCAGCTTTCTCACATCTCACATCAATGTATACATTGAGCTTTCATAGGTTTTGCAAGTACTTTTGGAGCTTTCATGTCCATTTATAAATATAAAAAAAAAATGCAAATGTAAGTGTTAAATATTCTATTATATCATGATTTTATGATTTTATGATTTAGCAAGAAAATGTAGCAATTTATTTATTATATAATTTATTTATAAATTGTCATTTAATTATTATTATTATAATTAATTTTTTCATGTTATTTATAACATTATATTATATATATATTAATTATATTTTAAATTACTACATTAAAGCTGCAGTCCGTAAGTTTTGTCTCTTTGTCGCCATCTCTGTTTGAAAACCTGCAATTGCAGCTATGTGCGGAATTATCTTGCTTGTGTGGGTTGCGAGTTGGCACAGCTCCAGCACGGATGAATCTAATGTTCTGAGGAGTATGTGGCAGTCAGTCACCGCACCGGTGTGGATATTTACTGTACTTTGCAATCACAGATTCTAGCCTACGTCTTGAAATATATGACCCAAATAAGAATTTTCACTGTATATTGTCATCTGAACAAGAAAGTAGCAAGTCTGCCACATTTGTTCTGACCAACTGAGGAAAAAAACATTACAATAAATCGCACTTCCAATGGTGATTTA